ATGAGTTTGGCAGCGCGCATTACTCTCGCGCAGTCGGTTCTATCCTCGCTCCCTTCGTACACCATGCAGACTTCCTTTTTGCCAGCAAGTGTCTGTGAGTATATTGACAAAAAGGTCAGAGCTTTTATCTGGGGGAGTACGGAGGGAGGTAGAAAGACCCACCTGGTGGATTGGGACACGCTATGCAGGCCGAAGGATGAGGGTGGGCTGGGCATGCGATCGGCCACCAGAACTAATGAGGCTTATATGATGAAGATAGCCTGGAGAATTATCACCAAACCGAACGAACTGTGGGCAAGAGTTATAGCTCACAAGTACTTGCGGTGGACTGAAAATGGTTGGATACCTCGCAGGACAGGGAGGATTTCCAATTTATGGCGGGGGGTCCTGCGCGTGTGGCACAAGATGGAGGAGGCATCAGTGTGGAATGTCCGCAACGGCCGGACAGCTAGATTCTGGATGGACCGTTGGCTTAGTGACGGAGAGCCGCTGATTTCCTACTCCCAAGAAATCCCGGAGTCGGCGAGAGACATCCCTGTGGCGGATTTTATCCTTAATGGTCAGTGGAATCGTGAATACATTAATCATGTCTTACCAGCTGTTGTGGCTTCGCAGGTGTATCTTCACCCGGTCCCGATGGAGGAAGAGGAGGACGTGCGCTGCTGGAGATTCACCCCAGATGGAAGGTTCTCTTTCAAATCTGCATATGAGCTGACGGGGGAAGAGGAACAAGGCCACCTACACCGACATCCCAAATGGCGTACTACCTGGCGGATCCCGGCGATGCAGAGAATGAGGACGTTCATGTGGCTGGCTAATCACCAGCGGCTACTTACTAATGCGGAACGGAAGAGGAGACATCTTACGGGAAATGACGACTGCAAGACATGCGGAGGAGGCCCGGAGACCACGCTTCATGTCCTCCGTGACTGCCCATACGCAAGGGAGGTCTGGTCGGGATTGCTGCACGCCGAACCAGACCAAGACTTCTTTGAACCCAGCCTCGATCGTTGGATGGTCCACTACATGTCAGGCCGGGGTCAATCTATCGACAGCACGCTGTTCGCATGTATGTGCTGGTTACTGTGGAAAAACCGGAATAATTTTTGTTTTCAGGGTAAGCTGGACACCTGGGCTCACATTCAGGCTAGCTCGTTGTGGATTCGGCAACAAATCATCACTGCCGCGGAGAAAGAATGAGAGGTGATCGGGGTTGGGGGGCTCCGATCGCCTACGATGGTGCAATGGCAACCACCGCCTCAAGGGTGGGCGAGCTTAAATACCGACGGGTCAGTGATCCATACACCAACAAGCACGGCGGCTGGCGGCGTCGTAAGGAGGGACGATGGCCGCTTTATCACTGGTTTCTCCATGAACCTTGGGGGGGGGGGGGTTCTATCACGAGCGCCGAGCTAGCAGGGATTGTGCACGGGTTACAGCTTACCTGGGAGGCAGGAATTAGGAAGGTCATTCTACAGACGGACTCCAAGACGGCTTTATCACTCATAGAGACAGCGACCCCGTCACATTCACACTTCACAGTAGTGGCGGAGATCCGACGGTGGCTTAGTCGAGATTGGCAGGTTCAGATCCACCACGTTTTCAGAGAGGCGAATGTGGTAGCATACCACTTAGCTAACTTGGGACACAGTTTATCGGTGGGGCTTCATCGTATTACAGCGCCTGATAGCTCCCTTGCGTACTGGCTGTATCATGATTGTTTGGGGATTCAAACTCTCCGTTTTGTTCCTGTTTAAAGGTTGGGACGCCCTTTAAGCGTCCCGTTTGCTTACCAAAAAAAAAACGACCCCTTATATATATATATATCAGTGGTTCCCATGGGCTGGGAATCGGCCATATGCACCGTGTGGTAGCCGGTCTTAACTAAAAGTTGCCTTCATTAGCAAGTTCCCAAGTCCAAAAGTTTTCCAATTCCGCCTCCCCTCTAAGAATCCTCATGATAGCTTCTAATTGAGAACTCGAGACGTGACCTTAAATCGTGTTTGTATTCAATCTTCTTTTCCACATGTTCAATCCATTCTTTTATAGCATATGTAATAACTCAGAAGTCAGAATAATTTAATAAATGAAATTAAAATCGACTATATTGATTATTGGATCACACTTACTTTAGGGATGACAATGGGTCGGGTCTGGGGTGGATAGTGCATATCCGTTACCCTACCCAAAGATCAAAGTAGTTCGGGTTTTACCCATACCAACATAAAAAAACGGGTGGAAAATCAAAACCATGCCCATACCCGTTCGGGGTTCGGGTATCCACGGTTATCCATGAGTAATAATTTCTCTTTATAACTTCAACCAATACATTAACATTCACACGTCTTCCCACATTACATAAGGGGAAAAGTAAATAATGATTCGCTAGAATGAAGAAAATTAATTAAAATAACACAATTTCATAAAAATATTATATTTATATGTAAAATAAAATATCTTTGTAGAAAAATAGTGACTATTTATAGACAAAATACATATCCATGTGTATAATCGGGCGGGGTCGGGTTGGATTGTGAGAAAACCATGCCCACCAATTACCCGTAATATTCGGGTTCGAATTTCATTCGTACCACTAAAAGTCCTTTGAGTTCGAATTTTATCCTACCCGATTAAGGCGGATTCGGACGGATATTCACGGTTACGGATAATTTTGCCATCCTTACTTTTATCATCTATGACATCAGCCTTGACACTAGGAATGGCAATGGGGCAGGTCCGGGGCGGGTTTCTTGGTACCCAGACCCGCCCGGTGACAGGTCGGGTCCAGGTCGGGTAATTGATCACGGGTCCCGGGTCGGGGCGGGTCGACCCAATGGGTATGCAATTTATATGAAAAACATTAGAAATATTTGTTATTTTAATTATAAGACTAAGAAAACAAACAATATTATGACAATTGTAGTTAAATTATTGGAGAAATTGAAGTTTTTACTAATTTACAACTTTATTATAGATAAAATATGATGTAATAAAAGGAAAATTCTAAGTAATTTGACTAAGATTACAAGTAATTTAAACCAGAACGGGTCGAGAATGGGGCGGGTCAAGGCAGGTCGGGTCGATGAGACTACCCATGCCCGCCCCGCCCCAAAACAGGTCAAACAGATCGAGTAAAACGGGTCAGGTCGAAATTGCCATCCCTGCTTGACAGTGCCTTAGTCAATCATTTTCTTTCTAGAGAAGCAATAAGCGACGGCAGCCGGCAGGAACTAATCCGGCAACGTTAACCCGGCAACCAATCACAGCAAATTACAGAAAAAGCATTGAACAACCGCGGAAATAAATAGAAAAAAAAAAAGAGAAAAACGACACTCGCCGTAAACGCCGCCAAGGCAGATCCACGTAGGAACGGAGTGTAATCCGAAGCAGCGGTTTGTGACAATCCGAACCAACTGGATCGGAGCTAAACACAGCTGGAGACAGGCTGTCACCAACAAAGTCCCACTCAGCGATTCCCCTAACTGCGTTCCTTCTCTCTCTCTTTCTATTTTTCCTTCGCAATTCTCTCTCTTTCTTTCTTCTCCCCCCTCTCCTCTCGTCTCTGTCTTTCTCTCCCCGTCTGTTGCCCCTCGCTCTCTGTCTGCTCCTCCTCTCTCTCTCCCTTCCCCCTTTTGCGTTTTCCGGCTAGGGTTTCGTCCATCCCATCCGGGGATTCGCCGATTTTCCGTCGACGGTGAGTGGATCAAGATTCCTTGCTCCGTAAGCTCTCTATTCATTATGAATTTTCCCGCTTTCGTCCTCGTCTCCGCTGCTAATTTTTCGTTTCCCCCCGAAGGCAAGGGCTTTGCATGTATGGTTTTGGGGGTTTGCTTCTTTTTCCTGGTTGGGTAATTTTTTTCTTCTTTCTCTCTTCTCGGCTGCTTTGCTGGGAATTTTTCTTGCTGGCCGTCGTATGTGCTTTGGGCTGAGAATGCGTCAATGTCAGTTTTTGGTTTTCCGGTGCTTCCTGTTTGTACTCTTCTTTCCAATTGGACCCTAATTTCCTTGCCCAAAAGTCTGGGTTCTGGTTTTTTGAAGTGGGGGTTTTCCTCTGGTACCAAATTCGTAGAGGGTTTTGTTTGGAGAGAGTTAGATTTAATTATGTTTGATTGAGTGCTTGATGTTGTGTTGCCTGCCTGCCCGGGTTCTTTTGTTGCTCATTGTCTACTAATTGCCCACTTCTATTGTCGGGAGTTCATGAATTGTGTTGTGAAGATCTATTAGATACTGGTGAAATTGGTGAGTGGTTAGAGCCTAGGGGAATCGAAATGTTGTGAGCTTCTGTGCTGAAGATGTGTTCAGCATAGAGCATTGTTGTAGGATAGTGGGTTAAATGAATCAGTGACTCCTGCTTTGTCCAAGGGTTGCTGAATAGTCTTTTGCAACATACATTACTGATTGCTCTTGCTCCCTAGTTGCAGATATTTGTCTTGATGCAGCAGCAATGAAATGTTGTTATAAACCATGGATATAGATGAACTTTGGATTGTTGTAGATGTAATAACGGAGTGGTATAACTTCTCAGGGTCGTTGTTGGTTTGCTGTACTTTGCTTTAATGATCTGGTTTATATTCTGCTGATATTATCTATCATAGTTCCTTTCATGCTTTGCCTCAAATTGCTTCATGCTTTTCAAATCTTGCTGTTTTGCTGACTACCTGCTTCTTCTTCTTGCAGGTGTTTCACTGGTTAATAGACATTCTCAGATTGTGCCATTCCTAGAAATTAAGCACCTAGAATTTACTGATTGCACCTTGGATTACACAAGGTGTGTGACATCACAATTGGAGCTTTTTGACCCAGGAAAGGGATAGTGGCACATGGTGATTGCGAATGAGGGGTTTGACCAGTTTCAAGTGAAGAATGTATTGTGACAGGCATGCACTATTATTACTGAAAAGAAGATAATCCTGGGAAGAAAGCAGCATCTACGAATTACTCTTGAGGACTCCTTGTATCCATGCTGGCTGAGAGCATGCGTGGGATCTGTGTTTCGGGTGATGCCCCTGACGAGATTTGCTGCCGATGTGTTCGGTGTGGTTACAATTTGTCTAGTAGCTCTCTTGATCATCTTCGGTCTCGTATGCATTGTCTACTCGTTTTATTTCCGGTCACGCGTTCGTAATCAGGACTTGCTCAGCTACTTCAGTGGTCCTTGGATAATCCGAATCACCTTCATTATATTTGTCATCTGGTGGGCTTTTGGTGAAATTGTACGGTTGAGTTTCCTGAGACGTGAAGGGAGGGTGTTGAATACCCTTGACTACAAATGGCAGGAAAATGTTTGCAAGGGTTATATCATCTCGAATCTCGGGTTTGCAGAGCCATGCTTGTTCCTCACACTCGTGTTTCTCCTGAGGGCTCCCTTACAGAAGATGGATTCTGGAATTTTAGGTCACAAATGGAATGGGAAGACAGCAGGATATGTTCTTCTGTTTTGCCTGCCAGTGTTTGTACTTCAACTCTGTGTTATTCTGATTGGGCCTCAATTGCGCAAAGATGAGGCTACCTTGATGAGATTGCCCCTTTACTTTACCAGCACAGCTACATCTACAACACAGAGCAGTGCTGTTGTTGCCCTCTGTACTTACCCTTTACTAAACACAATCCTCCTTGGGATCTTTGCCACCGTGCTTACCCTCTACCTGTTCTGGCTAGGAAGGCGCATCTTGAAGTTGGTCATCAACAAGGGTCTTCAGAAGAGAGTATATACCCTAATATTCTCGGTTTCGAGTTTCCTCCCATTGAGGGTCATTTTACTGGGGCTATCGGTTTTATCTGAGCCAGAGCGACTTCTTTTTGAAGCTCTTGCTTTCACAGCTTTTCTTGCCCTTCTGTGTTGTGCTGGGGTCTGTATATGCATGCTTGTGTACTTCCCTGTTGCAGATTCTTTGGCCCTGGGGAATCTGAGTGATTTGGAGGCTAGGAGAAGGGTCAGTGAGGAACACAATGAGTCCATTTCCCTTATTGCTAACCAAAGCTACCCGGAAGAAAGCAGTAGGATAAGCCCTGACAGTAACTCTGATACATCTACAAAGCGTGGATCTATATCTTTTCGTGCTTATGGGAAGGACGGGGCTTCGACTGGCACATTTGTTGAGCTGAGTCTGTTTTCTCCCAGTCGTGACGCTACCCCACCAGGATCGCCCCCACTTCTCGGCTGGCCAATGCGAGCTCCACCAGCACTAGCTCAGGGACCGCCTTGAGAAGAAGCTTTGGCAGGAGGAACACTCTCGGGGTTGGTTATCCTGGTGAATATCAATTTTGTGGTAAAGGATAAGGGAAAATGGGTAAATGAAAAAAAAAAAAGAGGGAAAAGAAGATGCTGATTGTAAAGGGGTTAGTTTCAATAAGGATTTTGATGATTCTTGGTTTGCTTCCTAATTTTAGATATGATGGTTTTTCTTCAGGGTTAAATGAATGAGTTAATTTTGATCATGCTTCAATTTTCTTTTCTCCTCTCCCCCGCGAGTTCCTATTCTTTGTCCTTTGGTTCCAAGCTCTTTTTAAGTTTTGTTATGAGTTTAGCACAGGAGACTGAAGGATGGTGGGTAGCTGTTGGTCAGTTGCTGCTGTATATGCTCTAATTGTCTAATAGTGGTGGCTTTTGAATCAATCCTTTACAGCTAGATCGACAACTATAATGGGGGTTGTAGGCAAGCTGGGGACAAATAGCAAATCTGATCTGTCACCTGCAACAAGTGAGTTGTATGGGTATTTCTTGTCTTTGAATTATTCTTGCAGTCCAGCTGTTGGATGCTCTTTTCAAGCTAGACATGGTGGGCATTAGTTTATTGTTATTCCTTCTTTCCCTTCTTTGGTTTGACCAATATTATAAGTGAAAAATCCACAAATTCTCTGTCCGGTCGCCGGCGGTGGGTAAGTGGTGACTTGGTCTCAAATTAGCTTCAGGTGCTCACGGAAAGGAAGATGATAATTTGTGTTCAGAAAAGCGGAATGGGGAAACTTCAGCGTGCGTGTTCCCTCGCGCCGCCCCTCATGGAAGGAGCCTAACTTTAAAATAATCAAAGCAGAATATTAGAAAAGTGCATATCCCTTCTCCTAAGTGTCAATGTTCAAAGTTCATGAACGGTCCAATTCTCTGACGAGATCAGGACTCCTTTTGGTGGAGAATAAGCTGCAGATGGAGTCACACATTAATTGGACTCTAACACTACGTTTGGCAACAAGGATGTGCAAATCCGAGGGGTACAAGTTAAGGGACAAATTGCAGGAGGGTGCAAATTGATGGAGGGTGTAAATGGAGGGGTAAATTGTTGTTTGGATGAAAAAGTAAGGTACAAATATAGTGAAAAGTAATAAAATTATATTATTATTATTATTATTATTATAAAAAGGATGTATTAAAATTATAAAAGATGATCACAAATAATAAAATAAAAAATAATATATATAATAATCATAAATATTAACAAATATAATTTAATAAAAATAATTATTAAGATAATAATGCTTTAATAATAATTTATTGTAATAATCATTGATCGAGCAATCTCAAAGCACGAAGCCCAACCTATGGCCAAGACATATAACTAGCAACTAGCTCATGTCTCACACTCGAGCGTTGGTTGTCGGCATGGTGATCTCGATTTGACTAGATAAACCTTAGGACCAATGATCGACCACCACTACATTCAGTCATATTTGGTCCTCTCAAATGTCATCGGTCCATTTTTTTCAATATTTACACGATACTTCTTCTGTATAGTTTTCAATGCAAATTTAGTCAACCAAACATTTTCTCGTTCTACTTTTTCCACTACACTTCTTCTCTATACTTTGAAAAAAAAAATTGAGTCATACTTCGTTAAACACATTAAAAAATTGGAGCAATTTGACAAACTTGCTGTTCACGGACAAATTTTCCATTAATAATAACTATGATAATAAAAAAATCAATAAAAAGTATGATTTATGATTCAATAATAATTATAGTATTTCTTGCTATCTTAATAATAATTACATGTTTTTATTCAAAATATAATTATTTAAATATAAAAAACATATTATAATAATTCTAAAATTAATCTACACACTAACCCCTTTCTCCTTCTTTTCTCTCTCTTCTTGCACCTCAAATTGGGGGGTTAAGGAGAATAGTGATTTAACCCCCCATTTGCTCCCACTAGCACTATTACAAATTAACCGAATGGGGGTAAATGCATTCAACATTTGCACCCCCTCCATTTGCACCCCTAGCCAAACATAGTGTAACAATACTTCAAACTTCACTTCAGTGGCCATCAGTTACCGTGCTCTGTTGTCACGTGACCTGGATTGAATCTATTCCTGGCAAAATTTCATATCAAACCAACTGTTTGGGCTGGTTTCATGGCCCAACCTAGTCATGACCCGTCTAAACGGCTAAGTTTAATAGTACGTTTATGGCCCAACCGAAGGGCGAACTGTATATGTGGCCTGAACCCTCGGCTTGGCCCTGAACCAGATTTTTTGGTCTAATCGGACAATCCGAGATGGAAAAGGGTATTTGTAGAGTTTCTCACAAGAAAAAAAAATCAAAATATAATTTCATTAAATACAGATATTAAACCTGTTATATGTTTTTGATATGTGTTTAGTATAAGAGTTACCAAATGTATGGGCAAAATGAAGCGGCTCAATACTAACACAAATATGAAAATTTTAAAGACTAAAGTATGTACCTCCATATATAAGTGTATTAAACAAAATATTCACTATGATCAGAACACCCGAAATGAAATAAACGTTTTATGTTTTAGTTTAATATTATAGGTAAAGTGCGTGTGGAAAGTACTAGAACAATCATGGTAGTTAAAGAAACGAAAATCTAAATCTAAGAGGACGTTTGGATAATATGAGTTTAAATCTACAGATTGTCAACAATCTAAAGATTTTAACTCTCCGGATTGTTGAAAACAGATTTTAAAATGTTTATTGTTTGGTAATTGTGATTGTTAACATTCAATTAAATAAAAAATTTTAATTTTATATTAAATAAATTTGTATCATTAATAAAAAAATTAGAGTGGTTCAAGAAATATTAAAAACTTTGTTGATATATATATTTCATGTTATAAATAAATAAAAGTAAGAGAAAAACTATGAGGAAAAAAATCTCACGAATCAAGATATAGAATCTCTCTGATTATGAGAGATTTGATATCCGCAGATTTTATATATTTGAAATCTCTAAAACTAGAATCCACAATACAGAAAACAACAAAAAAACATAACTTTTTATAAAATCTACGGATTCAGTGAATCCATATCCTGAATCCTCTTCTCCAAACGCCCCCTAAATCTAAATCTAAATCCAAAGAATATAAGATGGTGGAGTCTTATACAATTTCACCATTTCAAAATTTCTTGCTTCTCCTTAATCTACAGTATAATTTATAGCTGAAAAGTAAAACTGCAACCCCATTCAAAATTTCTTGCTCTTAGAGTGATTTTCGGAAGGTTCCGTAAATTGGTTTTCTCTTCCCTCAACTGTTCCCGTAACCATCCTCCCCGTATTTCTCTCTCCTTACTCCTTCCCCTCATGTCGATATTCCAAAGAAATCTGGAGAGTTCCCCTTGCTCTCTTCCTCTCTCCCGATTGCATTTCACAGATGTGCAAAGCAATTCCAAAACCGTTTGATGGAGTTATGCAGTGCGCGTTTGTTCCCCCTGCCCGATCTGAGCCTACATTCCTGCATCGCTGAAAGTCTGTAATATGGGAATTAAAGATTCATCTGCAGAAAAGTGAGTCCAATCCCTAAGTGATCATCAATCAGCCATAGGGGAAGCGACAGGGAAGCTATTGTGCACAATACCTTTCCTCTACTGGGCGGGATCACAAGGAAACCTAGCTACCTTAATTACAACCTTGCTCATCTGAGAGGCAGGTTCTCGGGTGCGGGCGGAGAGAGAAGAGAAGGAGAAGGAATGGGTATTATAGAGAAGTTGAAGAGCAAATTTCAGGGGTTTCAGTTGATAGGCTCAGAGTGTCGGCCGTATAGCAGGTTTTCTGGTGGCGAGAAAATTAGTAATGGAGACGGGAAGGCGAGGAGGATGGACAGACGAGACGAGGGTAATTCTATTGTTCCTCCACTCTACCTTCACTTGTAGCCAGGTTGTAGCGATTTCTCTAATCTATCTAGAACCTTTGTCTTTCTCTTTTACATGATGCAACAAGTACCTAGACTTTGGCTTCAATAATTAAGCTTCGATCACGTTTGAACCTTGGTGCTTATGTTTCGTTCTTATCTAGCTTTCTTCCCAGGGTATGAAGAAGAAGAATAAGAACAATGATTTTACTTACGATGCATTCGGGTGGGTAAGAGAGCTTCGCTTCTTTTCTTCCGACCTGGAAAGCATGCCTTTTGGAGTCTGAGCTACTCCTGCTGCTGATGGGAAACAAATGAAATGTAGTGGTTTGTCTATTTATTTATTGCCTAATTTTTGACCTTTTGGTAGCATATATTTTTTTTTCTCTCGGTGTAGAGTGTATCCTTGATAATAATGAGTTCCAAGAGTTGTTTCATCACTTCTGTGGTTCTTGTGTTGACATATTGGTTCTTTAGTTAAAAAGAAAACATCTAACTAGGAAGGAAGTACCTTGGATGGATCGATGGAGAGTGTATGTTGGATGTCTTTGGTTTAATACATTGCGATGATGAAATTCTATTCATTCTGCATATGATTTTGGCCCTCTTCACCCGTTTTTGGCCATCGATGGAATGTGACCCTTTAAATCGTTTGGATGGTTGAGTTTAATGACGATGGTTGTGAGTGGAAGTAATCCCACATTGGATAATATCTTATCTATCTCAACCAAAAAACCAATAAGTTCATGTGGCACATTTTGGTTTGTTTCATGTTTATGTTATGTGAAACATGGATGGAATTTACTTATTCCTCATGGTTGGTGTAATAGCAGCAGCACACAAAGTAGGGACCACAGCAAGAAGCCAACCATAATGGCAGAGTGAAGTAGCCGATATATGAATCTCAATTGACAATTTCTCACTATTCAGCCAAGGAAAAGACAACCAATGAGTGATTAATCTACTCTACTGTGATTTTGCTTCTTTCTTCGTTGCAGGCTTTGCTTATGATTTCTACTGTGATTTTGTTTCTTTCTTTGTCGCAAGCTTTGCTTCTGATTTGTCCTTCGTATTTCATTCAGCTGCTTCCGTTCCTTACAGATTCTTTCATAATC